TTTTCAAGAAAATAAATAGAATTTTTAAATACTCTTAAAGTGAGGAAATATTTTAAAAGTTCTACCAGATTGATGGAGAATTTTAAAAGTTATTTCTAATATTCAATATGAAACCTTAAAATCATTATAATCAAGACTTTAAGATAATTTAAAATAAAATGGTACCATCCTTTATATGAGCATATAGGGTGCTATAATCTTCTCTATATGTAATCGAACTTTCGAACCTTATTTTAATTAGTAGAACAAAATCATTTTTTTAGGTACTTTTAATCAAGCTTATGAGTTCCTTAGAAGAAAAATTTATTAGGTAACAAATCATATCTAATTAAAAAAGATTAGTGACGACTTCATTTATTAAGTCTAACTATAGATCTTCAAATCTATATGTTATGATAATGATAATAATTTCTCTTATATTTATAAGTTTATAAATAAATAAATAAATAATCAATTCATTTTTCTATTATTACGTATTGCACGTATATTATTATCTCAAATTATTCTAGTGAGGGCTAAATCATCTTTAAAAAAGAATGTACTATCGCCTTGGCTCAAGTGATAAGAGTATGTCCAGCAAAATGATAAATCCTGTTATAATAACATACAAAATTTTAAATATTTTTAAAGAATGTTACTAATTTAACTGGATAAACATCTCCATATCAATTATGGAAAATTTTACACAATTGAATAACTATTGATCAGAGTTATGTATAGATATTGTTTTTACCTTTTTCTTCCCATCTTGTTAATTTTTTTTGTTAAACTCTACCGATTTTTATTTTTAATTTTTTTATTAAATTCTGTGCATTGAGAAACCTGCAAATTTGACCCTTAAGACCCTGGTGATGTAAATATTTGGAACATATTCTATCAGTTATTAAGTCAAAAATGCCATAAATATTGTGATATTTTACTAGTTATCCAAGTGTGGTAACCCTTTCACAAGTTACAAGCATCAATGCACATATTCTATCCCTCCATTAAGTAAAAAGAAAAAAAAAAAAAACAAAAACATATATGTTCTCTCTCTAAACTAGTTGCCTTCATTATTATTAAAAAAGTAGAATTACATGCATGAATCAGTCAAATATATTATAAAAGAAAAACATGCATTACATAGACAGGACTCGTGACTTGGAATTTTCTTTTTCTTAGAAAGAGGACTGATAAATTGGACGTCTGTGTGTACATATATATATTTCAAAGCTGAAAAAGTTTGGCAACTACCAACATCATTAGAAAGGGTAAAGCGGACTTGAAAAAATTGTTTAACGAGCTCCGCAAGGTGAAAAGACTTCATAACACCTATTGAGAGGACTTATTTTTCTTTTTAATTTCTTGTTACTGTAAAATTCGAAGGGAGAGTTGAAAACCGTAATTATTGTTTAATATATTAAATTGATAAATATTTACTATTAAGAATCTTATATTTTTTAACTTTACTCACTGATAAGATGACACTCTATAATTCATTAATTATAATATATATATATATATATTGATAATACATAAAATATAATGACCTTGAACATAGAATATTACCAAGTTGTCACCTTGACCTCGAAAGATGGAAAGATCACAACCAGAGTATGATGTTTAGCATTTTCCCCCCTAATTTCAGTCAGTCAAGACGTGCTAATTCATGCTAAAAGTTTACCTGAAAATTGCATGAGAGGTTTAAGTTCGTTGCCGTGGAATATAGGAGAGGTTTATCTCTATATATATGTATACTGAGGATGGCTTTGATTATACCATTAATGGAACTTAAAAAAAAAAAAAAAATGAAGAGGTCGTCCAAGAATAATAAACATGTGTTTACTCTGCTTCGGGCCTGTTTAGCTATGTCGATGATGAGTTCTGGGTCTTTGTTAGTTGAAGCCAGAATTGCTCATTTCTCGGCTAGCCAAGGTACCAACTACCAGCCTTGTATTTCAAATTCGTTTTGTCATCGGCTCCATTTTTTATTCATTATTATTGCATAGAAAAAGCTGTTAGTCCTTAAACCTTTCTAATTTTGTAAAATAATCTACTAAAAATTACATACTCTTACATGCAATTGAACTCAAATTCAAATGTAAAACGACTTAATTATAAAAAAATTATAAAGTAAAAGAGTTTACAGATCTGTGTCAAATTCATGGGAAGATGCTAATGAGAGGCATAATTACTTATAATTCTTTTTTTTTTTTTACAAAAAATAATCCGCTGTTGAGAATGGAAAAAGAGTTGTTTGTGTTGAGATTCCAACCCTAAACCTATTAAATAAATAGCTTAATGAACTTAGTGAATTAAATTTTTAGTTCTAATTACCTATAATTCTTTCTGATCTTCTGATTTATGTCACTCTATTTTTGGCTCTTTATATAACAGGAAGTCTTCGCACAGGTACTCTACACCGTCGAAGTCTGAGGCCATCTCTTCCTTACGAATGGAATCCCACACACACCAATAAAAGAAAAAGTCAAAATTCCCCATGTTCCTTCTGCTAAAATATATATGTATCATTTTTATCTATAACTCATAAGCACTATCTGAAAATCTATCTTGGAATTTACATTACTCAATCTTGAAAGTTACATTTGCAATTAATAATTTATTTAGAATTCATTTTTTTTGTTACTACTTTATTACTGAGTAAAAATAATTACTGTTTTGATCATTATCCCTTTTGAATATGCCAATTAACTCTTTTGATCATACTAAAAGTCATGTTTCATATATATATATATATGATATGCATGCATACCTCATGAAAATTGGCACAATCACAAGTATCTCCTATAGTAATTGAATAAGAGCTAGGATAATTATTAAAACCCCTATAGGAAAATTCTGGCCGGTAACTATCAAAGGGAGAAATCAGCACACTGATGATCAGTCAGTCTCTTTTGCATTTTTTTTCCCTCTGTTTTCAATCAGTCAACACTCATCACACGCTAATGGTGAACACTGATCTAAAAATTCGACGAGGGTTCGACATTCTTTGACAATATTGAACAGATGGGAGGTTTCTCTCTTTATATACTCGTCTTGGCTTTGATCAAGCCATGAATTATTGTAACAAAGTACTGAACAATGAACACGTCTTCCAAAAATAATGCAGTTGTCTTTTCTATGCTTATGGCCTGTATAGTTTTATCAATGGCGAGTTCAGGGTCTCTGTTTGTAAAACTAATTAAGGTGGCGTTTGAATTAGATCCTCTCCACTCTCATGGACTGCATAGCCACGTTTTATTTTCAGCAGCCAACGCTTGGGATTACTGCAGCATTGAAACTTCCAACATACCTTTATGACTCACAAACCGCATCTATATTCTACATTAAACTGGACAATTCCGCCGTTTATTTGTCCAAAAATAACAAAATTGAAAGTATAGCAGCAAACTTCAGTAAACTTAAAGTACAATTAATGGATAAATTCAATATTAAATTATAGTTTGGTGGCAAATTTCAATCTAATTAATCTAAAAAAATAATGGATTAAATAAAATCTTTCTTTATCTTCATTAATTTTTGACTAGTTCTTTAAGAACAAAAGTCAAATATATGATTTCTTCTTTTTCTTAATTATACAGTAACACTCAAATTTCTTTTGAAATTGGTCAATTTCAAATTTATCTTGAATTAATACATATATCACCAAAAAAATTTTAAAATTTCAATGGGATCAATTTACAATTTATCCTAAAGTAATAGACTTATTATAAAATAGTTTTAAATTTCAATAGATCAAATGAACTACTAATTATATGCCCCTGCTTGATGCTATCAGGACACATTCATTAATTGTGGATGTCATATGAGTCATGATTAAAGTTGTATTGAAAAGTAATTGACATAAAATTAATGGAAAGACTCTAAGGTCTGGATTTATAGATGTGTTTATTTGATCAATTTAATTAATTTTGAATCAAATTATTTAAAATTAAATTAATTAAATTATTTTATTTTATTTTTATTAATTAAATTAAATTTATTGATTTCAAAAATTAATCGATTTAATTTAATTTAACCAATTTTATTAATTTTTTGTTAACGAATAATAAATATATTTAAATTTAATTATATTTAAACTCATAATTTCTCGTATTTTAAATAAATTGAATAAAATTATCTTCAAAAATATTCAAATATAAAAAATTATGCTAAAAACTCTAACAATTTATGAAATGAAATAATCCATTTAATATGTTTTTTATTCTATATTTGGATTATGTTATATTTTAATGAAAATTTTAGTTAATTCTTTTAATTCAATTTTTAAATCAAATTAACTAAAAATCAAAATTTTTCTAAAGTCATTTTTAATTAGTTAAAATTAATTTGATAATCTATCGATTAATCGAATTAAATCAATTCAATTAAAATTGAATTATAAACACTTTATAAACCTGCGGTGATCAGGGGTTGGATCTAATATGTCTGGACTCCGATTTTTTCAAACAAAAACAATCGTCAGAAAAGTAATTCCCATATCATTGGTGTTGTAATTTGTTGCCAATATCCCATCACTAAACTTTATAACCATTTAATGCATGTTCATGTTCTGCTAATCTACAATTTTCCCAACGAGACCAGTGTGGTACCTATGTTTCTTTCTACTCAGGATTTGGTCATGTTGACTCTGAATATAACGGGAAGTTTGAAGACTAGCATACACCGTCGAAGTCTGAAGCCACTTCCTCCAGCCGGTTGGAATTCCCCATACCCAAATGGAAGATGTGGTCAACCCCCAAGAACTGGCAAACCTACAAATTAAAGCAGCCTAGCCTACACTTGTTTTCTACCAAATTGCTTTACCATTTGAATTGAAATGTTTGAAGGATGACGTCATTTTATTGATGTAGTACTAACGGATATGATCGTAAATTTGATGGATAAAGACCTTTTTTTTTTCCTGATGGACCCAAAAATTCCTGGTGTAGACAGAGAAAGGATAGACTTGAGGATTCATATCTTTATCTGAAGATATCAAAGGCAAAGAGCTGAAGATATTATTAGGAAAGGATATCTGATGAAAATATACCTCCAGGGGCATTTTACATCGGCTGATGCTTCATCTCTGTTAAAATGGCTTTTACATTGTAGTCCATCAGTTACAAAATGCTAATTTCACAATGTCCATATCACTTATTGTTTTCTTGAATTAGGGGCTAAATGACCGAAGACAATCTTTGGAATGTTTCTCCATGCCAATCCTGCATTTAAAATTTGGCTTATCTAAGAAACCAAAATCCTTAAAGTTACACAGGTAAACATAAAAATTGTAGACAATTATAGACAAAAGTTTTTATTTAAGTTGAACACGACCTTTACAGCATTGTTTCAGAGGTCCTCTCTCTATTTAATATATTATATACTACCTCAAAATATACATCACATTGGGAAAAGACATCAAAAATAGGAGGAAGAGGTTGCAGTAATATGCTATTGCATTACTTTTCTCAAGAATAACTAATGGAACAGTACCTCTACTTAGCAGTAGCAATGTAACTTCCTCAGATTACAGTTCCACTAGGAATCAAGGCATCCTTGATTACTGTGACAATCCCACTTTTAATGAAATATCCATCCGTTTCCCTTGCAGCTTCTTGCACATTGTCACCATTAATGATCTGAAAAAAGCAAACACTCATTGTCAACATTTAACCTTGAGAAATGAGAATTTAATAAACATGGATCTATTATATGAGATAAATAGTTCCAATTTTGCAAGTCATAGATTATTCCATTAAAACTTGTGTTTTTAGTAGTCATTCAATTAAGAACTTTATACTATTGCCTCCAGATTCAACCACTAACAATTTCAACAGAAAGGTAACAAGCAATGCCAAAACTAGGGAAAGGGTCAAGGAGAAGAAGTTTTATTCTAGCTGAAGTTCCATGCAGAAGAAGCAGCAGCAAGGTAACATTTTAGTGAATGATCAGTGAAACTCATATCTCTTTACAAGGAAAGGGTTTAATTACCATGCTGAGACCATAAAAGAAACCATAGTAAATCAATAGATAAAATAAATACCAACCTTCACATTATCACCAATTCGAGCATTCTTGTCAATAATAGCTCTCTTGATATGTGAATTCCTTCCAATACCAATTGGAACGCTGCCCTTTGCAGCCAGAAACCTCCTGTCAGCATCAGTCTGAAGGAACACAATGAGGAATACAGATTATCAAGGAAGCAAATGACAAATGTCACAAAAACAATAGAAAAGAAAGCTAACAAGTTTCAGGGTATAGTACCTCATAATAATCTGCTCCCATCAGTAAGGTATCTTCTATGATTGCACCCTCAGAAATGCAAGATCGAAGACCAACAACAGAATGGTGAATTTTACAGTTCTGCAATCAACCAAAATACCCAGAGGTTAACACTCATGAGTTGTCTAATTTCCATTTAGCCTGTGAACATTAGAAACCATCGCCAACCAGAAAAACTAAGCAGAGTATCAACCTAGCCCCAAGGAACTCACCTTAATAACACAACCCTCACCAATAACACTATCAGTAACATCAGCATCAAGCATTTTGGATGGAGGTAAATACCGAGGCTGGGTGTAGATTGGAGAGGAACGGTCATAGAAGCTGGGAAGAAAGTTCAAAATCATAAAGGTAATTAAATTTATCATCACGCTGATCAAACAATAATGCATTGATGAACTAGAACTACCTGAAATCTGGCACTGGCTTTTTCGTAATTCCTAGATTTGCATTATAAAAAGCCTCAATGGTACCAATGTCCTCCCAGTAGCCATCATACAAGTAAGCTTGCACCTAAATAGGTTCACATGCAATTAGACCTCCGGTATTAGTAATTCTCAGTGATGTGGAGAAAATATCAATGTGGCAAATAAACCCACACCATCATGCATAAAATTCTAACACTAGAGCTTCAATCCAGCAAGCATAACAAACTTTTTATAAGAGTCTAAGAGATGCTTCATGGATGAAAGTACAATTTCACTCAAACTGCTCACAACAAATGCATATCTTGGAAATATTATTGTTTAAAACTATTCGTTGTTAGAAACAAGATAAGACATGATCCAATCTTCAGATTGTTTAACTTCTTATTACATATGCTAAAGCTGCAGAAGTAGCCTGATGAATAAAGAAGTACCATATGAGAAGCCAAACATCATATTTAAACAAGATGGCTGCCATATAAATTGAAAAGCAAACAAACGCTACTTTATTTTTCAGATAAGCTCCTCTATTCCATATACAAGGAACACTAGTCAACTTGATAATGGTAACAGCTATTCAAAGGGACTGATGTATGGAAAGAATACTCACCCTCATCCCAATGGAAGTAGCACCTGGAATGACTTCACTTCCAAAATCATTGGCACCTGGAAACTTTTCTCGAAGAAGATTCAACATCACATCTTTACTGACAACATATATGCCCATACTAGCAATGTAAGGCATCTCTTTTGCTCTCTTATCGTCAAGACCTAAAATTGTAGTATCAACCTAAACAACGCCACCAAAATTAGAACCAGAAAAATAATAACAGCTTCTAAGAAAATCTCATCTGAAGGAAGATTCTACCTGCATGGCTTTTAATTGATCCCCTTTTGGTTTCTCAGCGAATTCAATTATTCGCCCTTCTTCATCAATCTTCATCAGACCAAACGCAGTAGCCCGTTTTTCATCCATCGGCAACGCAGCTACAGTAATATCAGCATCAGTTTCTCTGTGCGCCTGAATAAACTTTTCATAATCCATTCTATATAAATGGTCCCCAGCAAGAACCAAGAATTCCAAAACATTATGCTCCTCAAACAACCACAAATACTGCCTCACTGCATCAGCTGTCCCCTGTACATTCAAAATAAAACTTTTTCAAATCAAAACCCAAAAAACCATAAACAATTCAAAACCTATTTTACTAGTAACTAACCTGGAACCAATTTGGGTTCTCAGGACTCTGCTGAGCAGCAAGAACTTCGACGAACCCTTCATTCTTATAACCACCCATGTTACTGGCATATGCGCGGGAAAGGTGGCGATTGAGAGAAGCAGAATTGAATTGTGTGAGAACGTAGATTTTGGATATGTTACTGTTCAAGCAATTGCTAACAGGAATATCAATTAGCCTATAATTTGCTCCTAATGGAACAGCCGGCTTTGCTCTCTTCTTTGTTAGCGGGTAAAGCCTCGTCCCTGCTCCACCTCCCAAAATAATACCCAGAACACTCTGCCAAACACAATCGAATTCCCAAAATTTTCATCACAAGTTAGAAAAAGCTTTAGCCTTTGAGCATATTTCAGTTGTACGAGTAATCAAAACGCATCGTTTAGTGGATCAGACAAAAGATCCCGACGAATTATAGACAGAAAGATAAACGGAAACTTACTCGACTAGCGTCGGGGTCAAGACATGTCTGCGAGTTCTTGGAATCCGAAACGGCTTTCGGCGAAACGATCAACGGAGTCCGTTTCGTTTGGCGGGAAACGGTAACCGTTGTGGAAACAAGCTTCTCACCGGAAAGAGTGGAAGCCGAGAACGACAAGCTCCGAGTAGCCGGGGATTTACGGCTAGAAGAAATGGAAGAAGCATTGGAGGACGACGTCGCAGAAGGCAATCGCAAAGCACCGATCGCAGCCATGCTCGTCTTATAAGTGAAGGACATACCATATGAGAAGTGGCATTTTAAGGGGGAAACGTCTGAAATTGATGGGACCTCGGGGCATGGATTTGCTAATTTGCCATTATTGTTTTGGTAAAACTACGAGCCGGACCTCGGGGGGATTTGTTGCCATTTGTCGGGTGTTTGGTCTGTTTCCAGATCTGGAAAGGAGAAAAGGGTGTTTTGGGGATTTCGTAACGATTAAACTGGGGAAAAGATCTGGGATTAGTGAAGAATAGTTGGGTGGCTGTCATTGCACAAGCAAACAACGGTCACATGGCTATAAGCATAGACCACAGCCCTTTGGCACCGTCATTTTTATGACTTTTTTTTTTTAAGTTTGAGGTAATAAAATAAAAAATAAGAGAACAAAAAACAAAAGCAAGATATATATTTATATAAAATAAAAAAGAATGATTTGTTTATACTATTAACGTAAAGTTATGGGGAAGGAGCATGAATCATGTATGTTGATAATTTTTTTTTTTTAATCTGTCACCATTAGACATGTGACTTTATTAGATTTGATGATGAATGGATGAAAAAAAAATATTATGTCAATCAATAATCATATACTTTACTTGCATCAAAATATTTATTTATATTAATTTTCACAGAAGTTAATAAAAATTTTGATTTTGATGTATTTAATATTAAATTTAAAATTTTTTTATAAAATTAAAGTTTCATGATTTTTAATATCAAAAAATAAAAAAATTTAAATATAATTTTAAAATATTAATAAGTAAAATTTGTAAATATTTAAAAAATTATAACATAATTTTGAGATATCTTTATAAAAAATATAGACAAAAAAATGGGACAAAGGAAATATTTAGTTGATAAAGTATTTAATTTTTTTAGTAAAGATTAATTTATAATAATTTAATTTATTGATAAAGTGTTAAATTTTTTATTTTAATAATTATGAAAAAAATATTTAGTGACATATTTTTTGAAAATTTTTGGTATAGCTAAAAATATTTGTTGATGAAAACAAATTATTAGATTAGAATTTTAATGAGAAAAAAAATTTTGTAAGTAGTTACGTTTATAAATAACAAATATTCAATTAGGTGAGATATGAAATAAAGATGAAAGGAAAGCTATAAAATTTTATAAGATTGGGTGTTGATTTTATGAGATTTGAGTGTATGATCATCCCATAAAACTAAGAGAAAGTGTCTATAAGTATGGATATTTGGTCAATTCTTAGCGATCGAGTAGGAATACCTATAAATATACATATGAATTTTGAATGTTTGATATTTTTATTTTAGTTGTGTTTATAAGTTGAGAATAATTATATATGTACGAGATTGGATTGTGTGAATTGAATATTTGAATGAAGTGTTAATGTTATGGTAATTTTTTATTGATTTATAACTTTTTCTCTCGTCTATTGATGTAACTTTATCAATATTGACCGGATTTGTCCTAACACAGACATTTATAAAATGCTAAGATAATCAACTTTTTAGATGAAATAAGAGTAAGAATTCCATTCATATTTAAGTAGGATTAATATACTATAAAAACAACACTATTTTAATTGATTTTTTTGGATAAAAAAATTTTTTATGTACGATGTCATATTATTGCATAAAACACGTTATCTAACTCCACTATAAAATTGAGCAATCACTTTTTTTTTTTTTAATTTCAAGTGATAAATAAAATAAGCCCAATTTTTGTTTCATATAATTATTTCAAACCGTTAAGCAAAAACTTGAATTGGGATGGAACGGCAACGGCCATAGACCATTGCCAAGCTAAATGAAGTGGTCTCGTGACATGTGCGATCATCCATCAGAATGTTGTTTTCGTCGCAATAGTAATAGGCGACGAACAATGTGCTGAGCCGTGGCCCGTGGGGCCTAAATGTATCAGAGAACAAAGGGGGTTTTTTGCCATTCGAGTTGATGTTGTGATAGCTAGCCATTCCCTTTGAATAAACGTTACTGATGTTATGCACAGTCCGGAGCCTTTCAAATCTTTGATTGAAAGTTGCAAATGTAAGTATTTATAATAAATTTATATACCAACGGTTGCTTTTAGAGAAGCTAATAGTAAGACTTTGTTTGATATTGTGATTAGGTTTTGAAAACTAGCACTAACATTTATTTTATTTATTTATTTATTTAAGAAAGAGAGATTCGGACGTAATTAAATAAGATATATATGCATTTATCCGAGGGAGGGAGATTCTTCTCTTCTGCAAAAATATGCTTGAATTATTAAATAAATGTTTAAAGTATTTTTAAATATATATATATACCCATTTATTATTGAACTAATGAAATGTCCAAAATTCTTAATAATAGTAACATGATTCTCACACCAACTTTATTTTTCTTAGTCTATAATTTTAAATATTTGACATTTTATTATATTTGCTTCTTTTTTTTTTTTAAGAAAGTGGTGATGAAAAAAAAAGATAAAAAAAAAAGAAATTAAAACATTCTTGGAATAAATATGGTATTTTGGCCTGAATTTACTTGCTACCAAATAGAATCCAGCCTCAACTCGGATCCACCGCCGATTCAAAATTATTTACTTAGAAAGGGGGAAAGGGCTTTACATTTGAATCACTAATACTGTCACTAGACTCTGGAGCTGTACTCTCTTTCTTTGCTCAAATTATTTCAACATGAAGCCCATACGGTAATCCTCCTCCTTTCCTTCCTTCCTTCTCTTTCTATTTTTTGAATAAGTTCTTCATTTTTAATTTCAAATAACAAGCACATTCTTTTTTCTTTAATTTTTCGATTAATGTCAATAAATGATTTGAAAATTTTGGTTTTTAATGAAGTTAAACAACGGGACTGTCTCCATCGAGCTCAAGAACGGAACCTTCGTCCATGGCACTATCATAGGTTCCTCTCTATCTATACATTTTTTATTCTTGATTTTTTAATTTACAGTTCTGATATTCGTTATTGTCCTTTGGGCTTCTCCCTAAACCCCAAGGTTATATAACTAAATAAACTTAATGCTTTTTTTTTTTATTTTTTTTCCCCTTTTTGCAGTTTTCGTTGTTTTGATTCTTATTAGCTCAGTTCTCTTCATTAAATTGGAATAAATCGGGGTTTTTTTTTTCTAAGAGTGGAAACTTCATTTCTGCTTATTGGATCTAATAGTCAACATTAAGAGCACTTTTTTATAGTAGTTGCATAGAATGTTACATATGCCATTTTTTTTTTTTTGGAATGTTTTTTGTCGTTAGTTGTTCTTGTTTGTTTCAATTCTTCTGGTTAAGATCGAAGTTTGAACAAGATGACTGAAATTTTCAACATGACATAGAGATACTGCTCCAGGCATATTTTACTGCCCATCCTCCATACTGTAAGAATGTTAATTTTCCTGCCCACTATCTCTGTTAAATGGACTGTCTAAAAAGTTGCTTTGCTTAAATCATATAGGGGTTGATGTTAGCATGGATACACATTTGAAGACAGTGAAACTAACGTTAAAGGGAAAAAACGCAGTTACTCTTGACCATCTGAGTGTGAGGGGGAACAACATTCGCTATTATATTCTCCCTGACAGCTTGAATCTGGAAACTTTGCTTGTTGAGGAGACACCAAGGGTTAAGCCTAAGAAGCCAGCTGCTGGTATTTATATATTTCACTCAACTCGTCTATTTTTTTGTTCCCTACAATCTATATTTTTTCTGTGTATCGTTTACTCATTTCTACTTTTATTTATCCATCATCTTTTCAGGGAGACTTTTGGGACGTGGTCGTGGCAGGGGGCGTGGACGTGGCCATGGCCGAGGTCGATAATCACCTTCCTGAAAATATCCTGTTTCAGCTTTTGCGGCATCATGTAATTTACTGTTGGAGTGCGCTAGAAGAGAGTTGAAGGGAACGGCCAGTTTGAAGCATAGGAAGAATCCCTCTAGTTTATTACTTGCCCTAGTTGCCTGTTCTATAAAGGTAACTAAGTTCCATTGCTAGAAACTTTTAGAGGAGATTCTAGTTAAACAATCAGTTAACAAAGTGGCGCTTCTTACTCCAATTTTTCCAAGAGAGGGAAAATCTGGGCAGATGAGTCTAACATATGCTGCAGACATTGAATTGAGCGATTATCAATTGAATGCTATCATTATAGTCCCCAATCCTTCTCAACACCACACTTGCACGTGGAAATGGAAGAGGGAAGAGGGGCCGGGATCTCTCTCGGAAAAAGGGGAAAAATGAAAAAGAGCCTTATGTGAAAAAACAATTACATCTATTGGTAACTTGTAGATGATTATTGCAGAAACGATATGATCAGTGTGCAACAGCAAAAATGTATAAGAAACCTAAATCCACAATCAAACCTCTCAACTTGGAAAAAAATATTTAAAATACTAAAACTATTCTTGAACTATTTTTTAAAAATAAATTTTTATATTTTTATTGTATTCCAATAAGATTTATACTTTTATTTGTATCTAAATAAATATTTATTTTTAAAAGAAAGAATTATTTATGTATGAGTTTATTGAGATACAAACTAAAATTTATCGGTTTATTTGAATATAAATTAAAAATTAACGATTTATATTTAAGTAAATTAAAGAAGAAAGGATTATCTAAGTTATAAAGTTCAAGGTTATTTTATTATTTTGGCCAAAACAAATCCAAATTTTCAGCTGCAGCAGACGCCTGTCTGAGAAGCTTTACCATCTCTACCTACAGATGAGGCTGCGTGGGTTTCATGTCCAAGTTTTATGCCATAAGACTGCAAAAACACAACAAGAAATGAAGGTTAATGATTCAAGTATTCAACCATTCCATACTGCTGCCTTAAAAACAACTAATGTTCTCCAAGACCCAACAGTTTCTTATAAAGCTGGAATTGACGTACTATCCTAAAACTTAAAAAGCATGTGGTCGATCTAATTCTTATTATTTTTACCGATCTTGTAACTAATCACAAGAAATGCAAGCAAATTTCCAAGAAATTATAAATGCGGAGGGATGCAGGCAATCGTTTACACAGATATCATGTGAGAAAAGAGAGAAAAATTAAGAGGAGAATTGAAATTGCAACTTTTCATGTTTCGTTTGCTTAAAGAGAGAAAAAGGTGTTGAGAATAAAGACAAACCATATAACAAGATGCCAAATTTGATGTAACTTTTGCCATGTTAAATAGAACACAGAAAGAAAGGGAACAAGGAAGGGAGGAATGAAGGGACAGATGTGGGCAAGTTGAACTCAATAATTTGAACAAAGAGATGGCAGAAATTGTAAGGAAAATATAAGCAGACAAATGCTAACCTCATTAGATATGTCAATAACTCCATCCTGAATTTTCTTGTAGATTTTCGCAGCTGTGCTTATAAATGCCTGTAATAATTTTTTGCTATAAATTTCGGAGAATGAATATCAAGTAGGACATGTGAAGAAAAGCTTATTTATACAAATGCTATAGAGCATTCTCAAGTAGTCCTAAGCATAACAAGAGTATTATTATCACCTCTTCAACATTTTGAAACGTTTTCGCTGAGGCCTCCATGAATATCAGTCCATGTTCCTTGGCAAACCGCTCACCTTCCTCTGTGCTCACAGCCCTTCTATGAGCCAAGTCACACTTGTTACCAATAAGCATAACTGTCATGTTTGCATTTGCATGCTGCCTTGCTTCCTCCAACCAGCTAGCCAAGTGATTGAAAGTCTCCCTCCTGATTATTAATCACAAATGCATGTAGAAGCGTTATTATTGTAGCCAACAGCACATGCAAAATTGTTTCTATGAATAATATATGCATGTAGAAGAATGAAGAAGAGAAAAGATTGGTTTTCTAAAGATCAAGTAACTCCATTGGCATAACTCAAAAGTTCTAAAAGAAAGAATAAATACCTAGTAATATCGTAAACTAGAAGTGCACCCGCAGCTCCTCGGTAGTAAGACCTTGTAATGGATCTGAATGACTCTTGGCCCGCCTGACAAAACAAAGAAAATTCAGCATCCACAACTGATAAGAAACGACATGCATGCTTTAGATTTTATATGCCTTAAACTAGGATTAAGTGAGAATACAATTGTGATGGACATAACATCCACTGAGGTCAAATGCCACAGCCCACAAATAACTTTGGTATCACCAAGGGGGTATAGCTAGAGCATATAAAATTCTAGCGCAGCTAGCTTAAATTATCCAACTTTAGCGCATTATAATGCCTATCTTTTTTCCATGACAACATTAACCCGTCCTATAAACAATGGCATCAACTGTAAACTTGTGTTCCTCAAAAAGATTTGAGTAGGACTGATACTCTGATGTTAAGGGTACAACTCAGATCCACTTATCTTAATACACCCCTTCTGGTGCTAGCCTGAAAGCTTGGTTTCACACATTAACATTTGACATACCATTTTGATACTTCATTAGAGAATCATTGTGCAAATAACGGCTTAAATTGAGAAATAAGAGTCCAAAAACACATACAGACACATTGCACGGATGTAACTTTAAACTAAAATATTTAAAACCTACAAACAAGGAAACCCAACCGTGTCCCATATTTGAAGCTTGATTGGCTTGTTTTCAATGGTGATCATTCTGGCTCCAAATTCAACACCAATGGTTAAATCATGAACAGGCTGAAATCGTTTATCAGTAAATTGCAAGAGAAGACATGACTTTCCAACTCCTGCAAAAACAAAAAGAACATATTTATGCTAGTAGCGCATAGGACACCCATTCTGAGACTTCAACACAGGGGACAGCACTAACATAATATCCTTGTGAAAACAATATTGCAAAAATGGCCAAATTCACTATCATATGCAAAAATGCTTAAAGTAGCAAGCTTCATTGCAATGCAATTTCAATCTTCATTGTCTCAGAATTTCAAATGCTAGCACATTACCATGCTTAATAAAGCATTATGCCATGTTCGATTCTGTTAGAAGTGTTTATCTTAAGAAAAGACATAGGAATCGAGGGCCTCATTAAATTATACAATGGTGACAATGCACCATTTAATTCTGTAATTGGCAATGACAAGAAAAGAAATTGACAGTGACAACAAAAGAACCTTCGGTAAATCTTTAAATTCCTAGCAAATTCAGATGATGTTGCTAACAGAAATTTTTAAAAAAGGCCCATTAATGAGAAGGAACCAAAAAATGGGCCAAAAACATATGAGCAACGACCCAGATCTCAAATTTAAAAAAAAAAAAAACCTGAGGAAAACACGAAAGAAATCTTACCAGTATCTCCAATGATAATATACTTGAAAAGGTAAGCGTACGACATTGGTTCTGCTCCTAAACGTACACCCCAAATACCTAAAATCGCAAATTCTATACTTTCGTTTTGTAAATGAATGGTCGGATCTTATGAACAAAAGAATTCGATTGTGTATTACCAAAAAAGAAAGAAATTAAACAAGAAAAAAAAGGTTTCTTTTTTCCTTTAAAACAAATGGTTTTAACTGCGTTAAACGCATGTGAAAAGAGTTTTAAATCAAATCAAAAGAAGTAAACGAGAGGAATCAATGATCTAATTCTACCCCGTTTGCGTTCATTCCTTCGAACACCTTCAATAAAAAAATAATAATTGAAACAAACGAAACGTAAGGGCCTTGTTTTATATATAGCAACCAACAGGCTGTTTGTCGGTTATCTTAACGTGCTAAGAATTATAAAAAAAAATCAAACCAACACATGGTGAAAGGCCCAATTTTTTCAAGAGTGAAAGCCCAAATAAGAACTCTTTGACCTTCGAAACGTTTTCCAAATTTTGCTACATTTCTAATTTCAATCGGTTAATCAATTTCTATCCGACTTCTACTCTAGTATTTTAAACTAAGATTTTACATACTCAGAGGAAATATATAGGATAAAGAAACAAAGGGGACAAAATTAGGTGGAAATTTGAAATTAGTTATATAATGCATCCGAATAATTAGCTCAATTGGTTAATACATGATTTTATTATTTGAATCTTTTATTTTCAAATAAAAAATAAAGAAAGAAGTTTTTTTTTATTACATAAATGAGTACTTTTTTAAAATTGTATGTGTGAAAAAGTTTAAAACTAAATTAAATAAAAATATTTATATAATCATTTATAGGAATATTGAATAATATTTATATGTTTTATTTTGTATATTTATTATGGTTCTTTTTTTAATTATTTTACTAATAGAATTAATATCCCAAGAACATTATTAATTAAACAGTATAGATTCAAACTTTTACTTTTTCATTGAATTGGGGGTTTTTAACATAAGAATTTACCATCATCTTGTCACGTGAGGACTGAGGAAAAGAGTAAATGAGGCTTAGCCTGCAGCTTTCTTTGACCAGAAAATCCATGCCTCAAAAAAAAAAAAAAATCCATCATAGTAATAACAAAGGAGAAAGTTGTCTATTAGGTTTTGAATAGTTAATATATCATTAAAATTAACATTTAAAAAAGTTTGAGAAAATTTATATGTTTAATATTTTTTAATCAAATAAATAATAAGTTAGTGATATTTCAAAATAAATTAAAATTTTCAAAAAGAATTAAGAAAGAGAAAGTCTATAATATCATGGTGTATATGTTTCAATTTACATGTAATCTTATAAAGTTGTATCTAATATTTTGAAATATTATTCATCCCCCTATTTTAAGTAATTTTTAAAATTTTATATCAATTTTTATACATTTAATATTCTTATATGTTTATATTCTAAATTTATCTTTTAAGTTTTTTAAAATTTTTAATAATAGAAATCATTAAATTAATATCATTTTTACAAATAAATTTTAAACAAGGACAAGGGAATACCAATTTGCAATTTTAATTGCATTTTGCCATAAACAAATGGATACAATGAAGGAAGCAAAAAGAGACACATCATCTTCTATCACAAATCAAACTTGAAAAAGGTCACTCCATAATCGATATTTAAACATTAATACTCACAAATTATTTGAATTTGATTTGAATAAAATTTTAATTTAGTTCAATTATTATCGAATTGAGCTTGAACTCGAATAACTCAACTTATCAATTGAATCGAATTTTAATATTTTTATACTCAACTTGAATATTAGTGAGTTTAATTAAGTTTTTATATTTTAATATATTTTTATTATTTTAATTAATAAAATATCTCAAACACAAATTTGACTTCGAGTATAAATAATCAAGTTTTTATCGAATATAAAAATTAAGTTTATTTTTACATGTTAATTGAGTCTAATCAAGCATGTTCGAATAGTTTGATTTTTATTTCGAGTCGAATTTGAATTAAAACAAAAACTTCGATCGAATTTGAACCAAATTTCGCGTGTCGAATTTCGTATCAAATTTAAGCTCAAACTTAATACAGTATCAATTCGAACTTAATTAATTATATCCTTAACTTGAATATGGCTTTCGAATTAACATGAGTTTCTCCATGTGCAAAATGATGATATCATTAATAATTTTTCTAATATAATAATTGTATCATATATGTTAAATAATATTTATTTTTTTTACCAATTAATTAATCTTTAATTCGGTTGTAATTCTAATTTACATATAATTTTATGAAAAATTAAATATATATTTTGTATATAATTAATAGTATTGTTGGTGTTAAATTTTGAATTTTAAATTTGTTATATGTCACATCTTAAATAATATATGATATTATTTTTAAGATTATCATAATTAATGTAATCACTTAAGTGAATTAATTATTAAGGTGATTTTATTGCTTGTGATTTGAAATCATTTTATTTGGTTAATAATCATTAATTTATAAGAATTAAATACTATTGTACTTGATATTGCTAAATCAAATATTATTTTATTTAAAAGTATGAAAATAACCATCCTTATTATAATAATTATGCAAGTGATTGATTTAAATGTTGTTTAAAGATAATAATTTATAAAATACAGTAATATTTTTATTTATTTTATAATAAATATTATTAATTTATTAAATATATTTATTTATTAAATAAAATAATTTATAATATAAATTATGTAAAAAATATTTAATTAAAAAATAAAATTAATTTATTAAAATCATAACAAAAATAAATTTTATTATATGTAAAATATGAAAAAAAGTAAAAAATATACAAAAAAAAAATTGAACTTATTACAATGAATATTAATTTGAAAATATAAAAATTTATAATATATAATTTCAAATGTAAGATGAATCAAAATTTTAATTTACATATTAAATGAATAATATTAGTTATTATTAATTTTGCATATTACTTCACTTTGATAATAAAAATTTTGTACTTTTTTAAATGGAAACTAAATTACCTTTCAAGATAATGATCTGGTTACTCTAAATAATCCAAAATTATTGTCATATATGATCATTAAATATTTGTCAAATACAATGATTGAAGCATTATTTGTAAATCATTATGATTTTTGGAATGACTGCCCAAATCAAATACTACCTTAAGATAATTGTATAACTAAGTTAAGTTTTAAATTTATTTTTCAATTTAAAATTAATATTAAATTAAAATTTAAAATTTTACTTAATGAAAAAAATGTTTAAAATATTAATTAAAATATTATGGAATAATATATTCTATGTTAATGATAAATCAAACTAGGATAATTATTTTTTAAAAAATAAATAAGATGATAGTTATAAGAGTAGTTCTTTAAAAGCAATAGTAGTGTGTGTTTTTTTCTTTTTACAAAAAATGTTTTTTATGTGTTTGTAAATGTAAAACTACTGAATTTAATTTAGTAATAAAACAAGCAAGAAATCAAAATAATGGATTCATCTTATATATCAAAGTATTTCAAAATAAAAACTTTCACTTTTTATTTTCAATATTTAGATATAAATAGATCATATATTGTAAATTTATTTATTTTATTTTTATCAATCAACCCCTCCCTTTTTATCCTTTCTTTTGTGCTCCTTAAAAACTAAACAAGTAGATTTCTTTCTTACTCCTTTTGTCCCATCTTTTTGACCATCTTTTTGTTTGGATGCCTCAAAAATACGTTTTTTTTAATATTTAAATTTTTTACTTTTTATATTTTAAAATTATTTTTTAATATTACAAATTATAAAACTTTAATTTTATAAAACAATTTAATTTTAATATTAAAGACATTAAAATCAAAATTTTTTTCTTAAACTCTATAAAAATGAATATATCTCAAATAAGGTTTTTCTTTTTTTTAGTTTTTAAAAATCTTTGGATGATGAAAAAGCACATTTTGCAATATATTCTTGGATTCCTCAAAATTATTAGTCCTAGGGACCATTTATTTTAAGTTTAAATCATTTCACTCGTGGGGGGTGCCCAAAAAGCAAACAATAATCCATAAATAAATGATTTTCTTTTATATGCATGCTTTTTCTTCAATGGCCGTGGATGATGTTATCATCATCAGTAATTTTATGCCTTATCGCAGATAGAATAGACATAAATGGCTAAAATTTAAGATTTAGATGTAAAATATTTAATTTTAAATTTTTATAGTTTTTTATTGATAAATAATTTGGAGATCTGAAAATTTTTTAAAAAATAAAAAAATTCATAATTTTTTTTGTAAGTTAATGGCTTACCCACTCCTTAAAAATAAAATAATTTTTCCTTCTTAAATTTTTCAAAAAAAAGAAATTATGTCTTGTTCGATTACATTTGT